TAGGCTAGATATTGGCTCTGGATGAGGAATCACTGAATTCAAACTGATATGTCTGTGGATCATAGTGGTTTGTGAGATAATCAAATGGATGATTACAGAGTTTTCCCACTGCTGTATGTATATTTTTATTTTAAACTTTTTGGAAACTGGTGGTATAAATAGATGGAAAATAGAAGATGTCAGTTCTCACTAATGACTCTATGCAAGAATTCCATCGATGGTGATTAAAACTCCTAGTTTTAGAAGTCTTTAGGGAATTGTGAAGATCTATCTGAAGAAGACTGGCAGTGCAGAGATAATTTCCCCGCAATCACAAAACAAAATAGAGGTGGATTCCGAAAAATACAATAAACTTGCAAAATAACTGAATAAACTGTTGAATTGATTCTTTGTATTTAGAGAAAGGAAGCATAATATCTAGGAACCTGCATAAATTCCCTAGAAATGAACTTGGTTTTTATAGTTGACAGAGTCGTGTCTTAGGGCCTGGGTACCTGATATGATGGATGGACTATTTCATGCTGCCCTTGGAGACAAGTTGGAGAAACATTGGTAGTATTGCAGCAGTGAAATGAATTTATATAACAGTTATATCAACAAGTGTGAACTTTTACAGGATTCTAGTAGACCTGGAAAACACGGTGATAGAAGTGAAAATATGTAACCTGGAAAAGAAAAATATTTTGTTTTGTTTTTCCCTCTTGGGCAGTACAGGCATGGCAACTGTACTCAAATATTTCTAATATCTCTGTCATTAATGAGGTATTTCTTGTATCTCAAGTAGGATAATTTGGGATTAGGAAGGCAGAATTTCCTTCATACAAGGGAAATGTTTCTGTCAATAAGCCTAATAGAAAGGACTCTCTTTTGAGGTAGGAAATTGACTTTACAGATGAGTTACTGCAGAGTGTCGATGCCTATCTTGTACATTGTCTAGTGATTGCTCACCGTGAAGGGACCTGGGACAAGATAATTTCTTCAGGCCCACTCTAAACTTTTAGAAAGAAAATGAACATCTTTCTCTTTGTCGTCATGGCGGAAGGAGCATATTATGTTTTGTCATACAGAAAAGTCTTTCATTTCCAAGTGCCCTGAATTCAAGATGGACCAGGAATGAGAACACCTTCTAAAAGCCACGAATAATAAGAATTTCCTCAAAGCATTATAGCACGATAAAAGCCACCAGAAAGAGGGAACATTTTGGTTTCTTCCTTAATAAGCAGCCAAACATATTTCTTGTTTAATTTTATTTTCTTGTTTTTGAGACAGGCTCTCACTCTATCACCCAGCCTGGAATGCAGTGGCGTGATCGTGGCTCACTGCAGCTTCAACCGCTTTAGGCTTAGGCAATCCTCCCACCTCAGCCTCCCAATTAGCTGGGACTACAAGGGTGCACCACCATGCCCCACTAATTTTTTTTTTTTCTGTAGAGATAAGGTTTTGCCATGTTGCCCTGGCTTGACTCAGCCTCTTGGGCTCAGTCTGCCTGCCTCGGCCTCCCAAAGTGCTGGGATTATAGGTGTGAGCAACTGCAACTGTCACCCCAATTTTTTTTTTGAGACAGAGTCTTGCTCTGTTGCCCCGGCTGGAGTGCAGTAGCACAATCTCTGCTCACTGCAACGTCCGCCTCCCAGGTTCAAGTGATTCTCCTGCCTCAGCCTCCTGAGTGGCTGGGACTACAGATGCCTACCGCCACAGCTGGCTAATTTTTGTATTTTTAGTAAAGGCAAGGTTTCACCATAATGGCCAGGCTGGTCTCGAACTCCTGATCTCAGATGATCCACCCACCTCTGCCTCCCAAAGTGTTGGGATTATAAGCATGAGCCACTGCGCCTGACCAAAATATTTCTTAAATGTATCCAATCCAATAGGAATTACGACCACTACATAATAATTTAAATCATGAATGTTGCATGTCTCTCATATTCTAGCAGCAGTTTGTTGAAAAACAGGATACTTTTGTAAATATCAGTAAATACTTTCTTAATGCTCAAAGAGTTATCTTTTTCTTTTCTAGTCAGATTGTTGAAGATCTTGATTCCTAGTTTAGAAAGTTGGTACATGTTGATCTCTTGGACTGTGTAGTCTATGTGAAGAAATACCACATCAGGACCACATATGCATTATAACTGAAATTGAATATTTGAAAAATGACACACTTACCCACTAGTATAATACTCTAAAATTTTCAATTGAATTCAGTCCAATTCATTACTAATTAAATACTGTTCATGCCACACTAATTTCACAGAATTTTCAAGTTGAAAAACACTGCTCTAATCAATAGTCACTGAAAATTCAAGTAATGGCAGAATAAATGAGATAATTCAAATCTTGTCACTTAAGACATTTGATAAACTTGGTATGGAAAGATAACTTTTGCATCCTTATTGTATGAAAAGTCCTGGGGTTTGTGATATGTTTGCACATTCTTCTTTGGTTCCTTTCTTCCTAGCTTTTCAGCCTCCTCTCCCTGTCTTCCCACAGAAAACCATACACTTCGGCAGCAGCCTCTGGAAACATGAAACACTATAAGAAAGATGGACAGATAGACTGCATTCTGTGCACCTTAAAGCTTTACAGCCAGAGAAGCACGTTCTAGCCTAAAGCTTGTCTGCTTATGAGCACATTCAGCTGACTGCCGTGATAATGAAATTGCTGATACACTGCACAGAGCTGCTTGGGCAACCATTCTCTTATTATCAGGAAGGCGAACACACTTTGTAAGATCAAAGTGGACACCTCCTGGAAGTTACATTTATTACAAGAGGCTAAAGTGTCCACATTCCTAGAAATCAAAAAGACTTAAGGCAGAAAGATAGTAATATGCAATTGATGAATGCAATTTTTGGCAGTTCAGCAACCACCTAAGTTAGTGACAGAAACAAGAGGTAACCTAGTTCTGAAAGTTACTAATTCTGCCAGCTCTGTGGTTAAAAGCAAGGCGCTTGATATTGTAATAGCCATAGGCAGGCTCAGCCTGACAGAAATTTCGACTGTCAGTGCAGGCTCTGAGAATACTTTTATAATTGTCCCTATTGCAGATTCCGCTGATAGCGTTTTGATCCCACTATTTCAGGAAGCAGGACCTCTACTATCACAGTGCAATTAAAGTAAAGGTCATTATAGCCAGTCACTCTCACGGTATTTGGAAAGCCAGCCTGGGTGAATTTCTAGTCCTTAAAACATGACACTTTCACATTGTAGCGGCCAAACTGTGGCTCTTCTGCTGTGGGCCGGCACCTACTAACAGTTCTACTGTGGTTAAGGCCCTTTTGTACTCCTCTCCACATGCACATCTAAAATGTTTTAAATTTTACTTCCTTTTTCATATCTAGTTTTTGAACTGACATATATGGTAGCAGTGAATTGATATGGGAAAGAAGTTAAAAAACTGTGAGTTCTTCTTTATAAGTTGTTGCAATCCAAACAGGCTGCTGAAAACTTTTTTTATTTCCTCATGAGATAAACATTGAAACTAATTTGTCTTGTTAAAAAAAGTTGTATATATTTATGGTGGACAACATGATGTTTTGAAATATGTACACATTGTGGAATGGCTAAATCAAACCAATTAACATATCAACTCACACCCTTGTCCCTTGTCCTACTGTAAGCCCCTCCATTGAGATTTTCAAATGGCTGCCTTCAGACAAGTCTCAATAGCATCTCTCAGCTGAGCCCACTTCAAATGCTTATTAGAAACACTTTTACTCAGATTACTAGAAAGCTTTTCTAGTAGTTTTGAATATCCATGAAATTTTGGCCAAAGCATTTGAGGAAGTAACAAAGGTACCTTATTATTTCTTTTCAAAAACCCTCCAGTAAGTGGAGAGTCAAAAGAGGCCGAACTCCAGAAGCTCTGGGTGTTTCAGGAGAGCGCTTCATTTTACAAAAAAAAAAAAAAAACTAATGTCTTCCGAAATTCCTTTGCTTCCTCAGAGTTCATTTTTCTATAGACTAGAAATATAGGAAACATTTTCCTGATAATTATGAAATGTCGATTGTAATTTAAACTGTGTCGGAGAAGTGGTTTTTGTACTCAGTAGCTTTTTACTGCAAACGTTTACAGTCCGTATTATTGATGAAAAGACAGCATTATTTTAATGCATTTTAAATGGACTCAGAGTGTGCAAAACCTTGATCACAGTCATTTTTCTTGTACTAACAAAAATATACGTAATAGTTTTAAAATTATAATAATTTTAATGACATCAAAGGGTGCAGTATGAGGAATAGTTTTATAGCATCCCTTGGGTAATCTCTGGGCTAACTAGTGGAAAAAGTTTACTATTCACTATGAGTGGTCTTGATAGTCTTTCACACTAAACTATACATATTTCTTCTTTTTTTCTAAATGCACACTTCTCATGCCCACACTGAAAAACGGGATGTTGTTTGGTAGAAATTAGTCATTAGATTATTGCTGTACGTTCTTCTCTGTGCAGTATGTACTTAAATTAGGGGCAGGATTATTAAAGAAAATTGACTCTGGAAATATCACTTTGATTGAATTCCCCATGTTTCAGTTGTGGGAACATCTGCTCGGGAGCACTCTTCCATTCTAAGTAGACAATTTCCAACAGGGTGCAGAAAGTAGGCTTAAACACTGGTTCATATTTTATATCAATTTCTAATAAAATAAAAATAAATTAGTGATTTTCAGTAACCCTTTAGGGAAAAGTCAAAAGAACAGAGAGAATGGAAAATAAGAAAGTGTCTAAGAAGGGACATGTATTTTCTGTTTATGCATTTTCCTGGTTCTTTCATCTGTACAGTTTCATGCCGAGCAAAGTTTAAGAAGGGGTGATCCAGGTATTCAGCACAGCTGGTAATTTTCTACAGCATGTAGGCCTGACCTTTCTCTGATGTTTTGCATGTGGTTGCCACCTGTTTTATCCCATTTTGTTAGAGATTCATTGTCTTCTTGAGCCCGCGTTTGACACTGCAATGAGTCACCTGCCCTCACTCCCTTGGCCCCTCCCTTGGCTGCTACTCACTCAAAAGGGTCGCTGGGATCTGCCCTCTGGAGCTCTGGAGGGATGGGGATTCTTTTGTAGTACATTTCCCAGTCGAAGGCTCCTCGCATGGCATCCCCAGCTTGTGCCTCATACCCAAAGTGATTGTGGTCAATGACATCGATCATGGGACACACGATGGTTTTGTGGTTTAGTGCAATTTGGTCTGAAAAATGAAAGCACAGAACAGGAAATGACATGCCTGCCTCGGTCATCTATCATTTTTCAGCAAAGAGAAGCCTATAGTCCCCTACTAATGCATAACGCTTGCGGCTTTGGCTCCCTGTCGTCCTAAGAGCACTTTTCAGGAATCTCTGAATTCTGGACTTAACAGGATGGGACAGTGATTAGGCCCAATTAGAGTTGTTGTATTTTCCTTTAAGAAAGTTATGTCCCAGAGAGACTTGCAGAAGTCCATTTAGCTCTACCTCTGTCACATTTTTGCTCTGACCTGTCCCCAATCTGTCACGTTATCGTGCGTCCAACATTCACAGAGTATAAACAGTACTTGTGTTCTTTCAAGCATACTGCTAGAGCCTGCTGAGAAAATACTGGGCTGCTTTCTGGAAGTTCCAAAATGTAAATATTTAACTTCATGGTTTTTGTAGTATCTAATCTCACACCAATCTTGATGGCTGCTCCCCTCTAAATGCTGACAGATCATACATAGAATTCGTTGCTCTCAGGTTTGCCAGAGATTTTTACAAGTCTTATTTTGCCGCTGTTCTTGGAGATGAACTCTGTTGATCAAAGCTATACATTTTCTTCCCTCTCATATTTGCAAAAGTATGAGGTGATATAATACTACTGCAATCACTTCTGCTACTATTAAATTCTTGAGTTAACTACTAAGTGATTTATTCTTATGCAATTCTAATACTCTAAGCAACCCTGTAGAATAACTATTATTGTCATCCCCAATTTATGTGTGAGGTTAGAGAAATTAAATAACTTGTCAAGGGTTGTGCAGCTATTGAGAGCAATAACCAAGATGCAACCTCTGCTTAACAATCCAGTTTCAAATCTGACCTTTTGAGTGTTCCATTGTGCTTCTCATGATAGCAGAGTGGTGATTTTTTTTTTCAGTTCCAGCACCTTCCTTTCCTATGTGGGTATGGTTATTGCAATGACATTAACAGCTAGCACAGGGCACTGACATTTGCATCCTTCAGTTTAGCTAGAATAGCTACCTGTGAGGTATCTTTCTTTCCAAGAATGTGCATTTAGCTAATATTCGTTGTAACAGACCAATGCTGTCTAATAGTCAGAGCTTCTTGTTATTTGGAAAACCTCCGCATGTGACAGTAAACAAATAACACGTGTCATTTAGAACAATTATGAAGTTTGTTTAATTCCATATCATATTTTGTTTCCCATGAGATTGTGAAGTAAATGTAATTTGTGTTGGGGATAAAGTTCTTACAGTAAGGAAACTGGCCGTTTGCTTCAGAAGTTTCTCTTAAGCGTGGGATGAAATGCCTAAGGTTTTACTGGCTGTGATAATAAATGGCTTTATTTTGATGACACTTATGAAACAGGGTATGGAAACCACAGCATTCTATGGAAAAATTCTCTTCTAAGTCTATATGCCTTTTCATCGATTCATACAACTGTCCATCCATCCATCCATCCGGTCACTCTTTTGATATTTCAACAATTATTTATTGATTAGAAACGATGTGCCGGTCACTTTTTCTAGGTTCTGGGGACACCATGATGAATAACATCACAAAATTTCTGTCTTTAAGAATGAAGCAAAGACAATAAACATAATAAATAACTACATTGTACAGTGTTTTAAAAGGTGATACATGAGATGGGAAAAAAGTAAAACAGGGCAAGGGGAATGCAGGATACTGGAGTGGAAAGGGTTGCAATTTTAGAGCATGATCCTGGTAAGCCAAAGAGAGCTAGAGGTGGCCTTTGCCTTACTTTAGTTTAATTAGCAGATGAAGAGACTCCCCCCCAGTACCATTTCTAGTTAATCTCCACCAAGGGATGGCTAAGCAACTGTTTTCCACCAGGGCAAGCCTTACAACGAGTTTTACTGAATGGTATTTCCATTCAGTAATATTTTACTGAATGGCATTTCCCCCAGAGATGTCTTTGACAGAGAAGACTATCATTGCTGGGTCCAGAATATTTTTTTCTCTCATCCCTGCAGGTATTTTAATATTAAGGTTTCAGTGACTTTCTTCAATCAAATTCAGAATCAGCTTGATTTACAAGTTCCTTGACCATCACGGAATCCCAAGGTGACCCAAAGAGAATGTGTCTGTTAAATTAACTGTCAACTTTTCCTTCAGATTTCCTTTTCACCCTCATCCAGCTGTACTAGCTTAGGTTGAAAGCAGCATGACTAATTTTTCATCCACGGCTTGTGCCTACATTTCAATTTCCAGGGATCAAACAAACAGACTTAATGGGAAATTGAAATTCAGGTATAATCCCAAGGTGAAAAATGAGCCAAGAAACTGTGTGGCTCTGCCTGTTTTTTCATTTTGGATGATGTGTCAAGACACTGATAGAGGAAAATAAAAAAAGATAGTGATCCTGAGCTTGAATCATTTCTTATCCATCAGGACTATAGGAAATGAGATGCTTTAATGAGAAAATTTGGGTTGTGGGTTTCTCTTATTCTTTTTTCCTTTTTTTCTATCTTCTTTTTAGTTAGATTCAGAGTGAACAGTCAGAGACGCAATAATTGTCATTTAGGGGTTTGCTTTGGTTCATAAATAAATTAGGCCTTTTCCTGACTTCCCTGAGCATTCAACACCGTATAGGTCAAATTCTGTTTGAGGGAATCTCACTGTTGCTGATGAAGCTCTAAATTGCTATGTCCTTGGACAAGGTACTTTTAATTAAAGGCTCAGAGGAGTCTCTGACTGTAGGGGCGCCTAAACATCACGGTTTATTAGGATGGCCGGGTAGTCGTCTGTGCAGGGGTGTGGGGTTGGGCAATGTGGCGGGGGTGTTGCGTGCTGGTTGTTTCTTGTTTTAAATCCTATACAGTTTCAATTGATTTTCCACCCACATCTTTTAGTAATGGAGCTTTGCTGGTTCTTGCTGAAAACCTACACAGTAGTCAATAGCAAATTGTTCTTTCTGATACAGCTATTGTGAAGGCAGTTGCTAGTGACTTCAGTTCCAAGGCCAGGGATATTTTGACGACAAAAGTTGATTTAGCAAAGTCGGAAGGGAGAACACTATGTGTGCACCAAGAGACTTTTAGAAAGAGTGTTTTTTTTCAAGCTGACAATTTATTTCTTATCTACAAGTGGACTTTATATTTGACTTCATTTTAAAATAAAAATAATGAAGCCTGAACTGAACATACATATGTTTTCTAGCTTAAATGACTTTCAATTTTTTTGTGTTTCTAACAGTTCAAGTGTGTTATGACATAATCTTCTTTCCCTAGGCTTAGGCATATTGTAAGCATTTAAGACATAGCACCTGGACAGCAGCGCTGTGTTTGAAGGGGTTTATGCAAATACAGGGAACTGTATATTTAGGGATATAGGCTGGTGCCAGAAGTGAAAAGAATAACAGAAAAGAAATGGCATTCTAAATCCTAGAAAATGTAAAGATGCTTACACTTTAACTGTATTCTGGGGGTGAATAACTTTCCTTCCTCTTTGCTTAACAATCCTGTAATACTTGTTCTGTGTGTGTCTGTGTGTGTGTGTGTGTGTGTGTGTGTGTGTGTGTATTTTAATCGTACTGTAGTTACAGAAAGACTGTAAAGGAGTTTTGGGATACTTTTTTCTCTTAGTGTTCACCCAGTGAATTTGACTACAATAAAGGAGGATATCTAAGTTAAATGAAGGCTTTTTAAATCTGTAAGTTACATTGAAGTTGGCATTATCTAAAATGCCAAGTTTGTGTCATTACTTAGAATACTGTCTAGGACAGTTACTTGGAAAACTGTCCTCAGCCATGGTAAAATGTAGAATTCAAGGCTCTATTGGAAAACCTGTAGAAGGGACCTCTAGCGTTTGTTGATTGCAAACTAAATAGGGGCCAACCGCGCACTGCCCCTGAGGCATCCCAGGATGGTGCCACAGCAGCCTGTACTCACTGAGGAGCGGGGGCAGCCAGTTCACATTGACCTCGCAGTGGGAGTCCAGGAACGTCAGGACTTCTCCTCTGGCCATAGATGCTCCCAAGAGTCGGGTCCGGATGAGTCCTTCTCTTTTCTTGGTGCGAACAATCCTCACTTTGGAAAATCGGGCCATGTATTCTTCCAACTTATCCTTCAAGTGTTCTAAGTAGGAAGTAGAGAACGCACAGGAAAAAAATGCAAAACATTAGTTGCAGCTGAATTATGCACGGTTGTTTGTGCATCGAGAGTATGTGACTGATGAATCCTGGGGTAACATTTTAAAAGTCTATGTTTCTCACCTTCTTATCTAGATGGGAGATACTAATAAGATTTTTAGATCTTACACTTTCCAAAATGCCTCATAAACTGCAAATAGTGCCCATTTTAGAACACGGAAGTCACAGACACGCCAGAGCTCTGTTATGCAGTTACTGCTGGCTGACAGCCCCGGTGTGTAATCCTAGCCAGTACTCCAAAGATGGGCTTCTGCCATCTGGTTCCTGCTGGGTAAAGTCATATGAAAATCCTGGAAATGGGCTCTTTCCAACAAAAGGGCTCTTTACAGCAAGGCTTTGCTCATTATTTTGTGTATTGAAAATAATGCATGTAGGCCGGGCGTGGTGGCTCACACCTGTAATCCCAGCACTTTGGGAAGCCGAGGCGGGCGGATCAAGAGGTCAGGAGTTCAAGACCAGCCAGACCAACATGGGGAAACCCCATCTCTACTGAAAATACAGAAATTAGCTGGGCATGGTGGCGCATGCCTGTAATCCCAGCTACTCAAGTGTCTGAGGCAGGAGAATTGTCTGAACCTGGGAGGTGGAGGTTGCAGTGAGCCAAGATTATGCCACTGCACTCCAGCCTGGGCAACAGAGTGAGACTTCATCTCAAAAATAAATAAATAAAAATAAAAAAAGAAAGAAAATAATACATGTAAAACAACAGGAAAGAAAAATATCTGTCATATCAACAAGAACCAAACAGATTTTTTCCCCCGACAAGTTAATACCAAACTAGTAAGCAAGTTTAGCCTATGGCTTCTGATTTGAAGTGGAAAGGTGACTGACTGCAGATGAAATACTAGACAGTCATTTGGAACTTACCTCTTAAAGATTTGGAAATACATTTTAGCTATTTAAATTTGGAAATGTGTCTTGCCTAACTAAAAGCAAATAGTGGAAACAAAATCAAATCAGATAATTTATTCATAGAATAAAATATTTCCTATTGTCTGTGACAAAATGCATCAAATTCTCAGTTCTTACTATGTCAAATAAGAGCATTTGCTGTCTTTCTGTGGATTATGTGCTTATATATTTTGTACCCTCTGCTTTCACTCTGCCATATCTAAGACATTATGAGGGCTTTATTGGAATCTCTGACAGGTATAGCCTAATATTCATTGAAATGAAATCTTAGTATCATGTATGTTCTGTATTTTTCATTTTTCAAACTTTCTCTGCATGTTTGTGATCAAAGGTAATATTATCAAGTCTCTTCCCATGATCTGTAGCAATAGGGATTCATGTAGGATTTGTGATTCCTTCCTGCTATCCAATGTAACAGATGTCAGAATTACTCTGTATTGGAGTTTCTCTGTGCATAGAGGTTCATTCTCATTTCTTATTATTAGTGTAGTTTTATAAAATCTTAACTTCCCTTTTTATTGACTGTTCTATGTTTCACAAATGGGTCAATGAAAACAATATTTGTCTTTCTAATATTCACTGTAAGAGAACACAGATGGGGCTGGGGATGGTGGCTCATGCCTGTAATCCCAGCACTTTGAGAGGCTGAGGGGGGCAGATCACCTGAGGTCAGGAGTTCAAGGCCAGCTTGACTAACACAGTAAATCCCAGTCTCTACCAAAAACACAAAAATTAGTTGGGCAGTGGTGGGAACCTGTAATCTCAGATACTCAGGAGGCTGAGGCAGGAAAACTGCTTGAGCCTGGGAGGTGGAGGTTGCAGTGAGCCAAGATCGAACCACTGTACTCCAGCCTGGAAAATACAGTGAGACTGTGTCTCAAAAAAATAAATATACAGATGTGATTTTCCACGAGAGTATTTTAGCTCAAAATATGTTCCCTGTATTTTGTTCTTCATGTAAGTAACAGGTATATGAAGATGAGACTGGGAAAAGCAAACTCTTTTTCCATGGTTACAATCAGAGTAGGCTTGGGAGGGAGGTCTGCAGTGGTGATACAAATGGGCAGGTCATGCCAACGCTCGAAGCCTGAATAGCCTCACTTATAAAGGATTTGGGGGATTGTTTTTTCCTCCTAGAATGTGGTAGACAGTCAAACTTTGATTTAGGCTTGAGTGAGACTGGTCAGTGTTCAGTCAACAAACACTTATGTATTATCCCAATAATTGAAGACTGGTAAGTCACTTTTATGTATGAAGAAAAACAGCATTTTTATCTGAAGAAATGCCTTTGAATGCTGAGCTTGAATGACAAAAAATTTAGAATTTTCTTTTTCCTGGTGAGATTCTGATAATTCATCATTTTGTATCTCTTGCAAATTAAAGGAAAAAGGTCTGGGAAGCCACAGACTCACAAATAGGAGCATATAAGCAGTATTGTGCTAGCTCAACCAAGAGACAGGTTCTACTGTGTGCCTCTTTGCTCACGCCCCTCTGCTCAGTTCTCCCCAACATGACGGACTCCCAGCTCCACTGTATGCAAGCTGCAAAGAAAGCTTCTAAGGGCTAAACAGAGTGCCTGTGTGTAAGCTTGCAGCTTTACTATCTTATCAGGGAATTAAAGAAGACACAAGTGACACCATTGCACAATCAAAGGCAATGACTAAGTGATGAGTGATCAATACAAGGACGCCGTTATGTGTCAGTGTCTTGAATGGGCCTTGTTCTGTCAGGATTTCCCACAGTAATAAATGTTTAGGACAACTTTATAATCTCATTACTGTAATTTACTTAGGCATTGAAATCTTTCCGTATCATCAAATTACAAAGAAGTGGCATTCTATATGTCTCTTTGTAAATCTGTTGTTTGGACCACAGAAGATATTGTCTCATGGAAATAGTGTTGCAACAGTAACTTGGGACTACACACAGATCACCAATACTTGTTAGGCCCACTAAAATATGTTTTTTCCCTTCACTATTCATTGTCAAATGTCACACTATGAGTACATCTCAGCAGTCCAAGATGCATTTACATTTTTCCTCCATAACCCCCAAGCACTAAGAGGGCCTCTTTTGGGATTAATGAGTAATTTCCCATAGTTCCATTACAGAATAGTTGTTCTAGAATATTCTCACTTCCAAAGTCTTGAAAAGTGAGAGTCAAAGGGTTAAGGGACCTGAGAATGGCTGTGCCAACTTTGGATTTAGACTTCTGTATTCTTTGGTTTATAGGAAATTCTCTAGAACTCTGTGAGGACTGTCTCTACATGTTTTTATTTCTCTGTACACATTTTCTGACACTGAATATTTTTCTTATATTAAAGCCCATTTTAATTTGCTAAAAAGATTGTAAAGTGTGAATTCACTAAGTATAAGGGATTTGACCCCTCAGTAGTGTCCATTAGATGTTTAGATCAATTCTTCTAGTTTGAATTTTATGGTGATAATTTAGCTTGCTCTGCCTCAGATAATGATCTGGTTGGCTGCACTTTGAGGGGTCCTTTCTCTCTTTGTAGTTCACTGCAATATCTAATTACCCATAACTCACAATGAAGGCAGGTATCATCAGTCTAATTAGCAAATTAAACTCTCATACAAGGGAGTTACTGAAGATGGTAGACATGGCTTTAAATTAAAAACATTTTGCCTTTCTTTGGTATGAACAGGCTGTAGATTCATTTATAAAATGTTATTAACATGGTTTTAAACATAATTTTCTATTATTTTAATTGAAGTATTGCATTTTTGAAGATTACCTTTGAACTCCTTTAATTTTAAATACTACCAAGGAAGTTTATGAGTTTTATGTATAAACCAGGGAGATCTGCTTAGTGACTTTCAGACATTTGCAAAACTGTTTATAATCTTTTTGGTCAGTGGTTCTAGGCAATCAGTGAATAATAACTGTTAAAATCCAATGAGCTCCAGTAAATCCTGATGACCTGGAGAAATGAATATAACTTCAAAAATAGCAGTTTTTACCAGGGCTTATTGTGTCACTGTGAAGAAATGATGAGATAAAAAGTTGTATTCCAATGAAATTTTGACGTCATGTTACTGTGAATACCAAATTTAGCAGGTTTGTAGAATATATTTTCCTCTTTCTTTCAGAGATTTCACTTATGTGTCATACATTTTTTATGAAGAATAACCATTCATTAGTGAATTTAGTGTTTAGGGAAACATCTAAACACCAAAAATGTTAACCTTCAACATTTTGCACAGTCAAGGGAGTCAAAGACTTGAGTCCTAGTCCTGTTGCTGACCAGCTGCGTGACTTTGGGTAAGTCCCTTCCTACCATATGACCTGAGTTTCCTAAGTTGTAAGATGAAGGGTGTGTGACTGGCTCATCTCAATGATTCCTCCTAGTTTTCCGATTCTATAATTTCTCTTGTGGTGTTTTACTTACTGAGTAGATCCACTACTCCCAAATTCTTAGTTTTTTCTTTTAAAAGCTTCCCGGTGGTTGGTATGTTGGTGGTGTGTGTGTATGTTCTTTTGGCTATGTCTCACTTTTGAAAGAGACAAATCAAATTAAAGCTAACATGTACCACAGGGTTAGTCAGAAAACAAACTCCAGGGTGCTTTCTTTGGTCACTACGGCATCCACCTCATCTTATACAGTTCACTGTCTATGAGACTATCACTAATGTCAGAATAATGACTTTGAAGCACTGTAAGTTCATCAAAGATTTAAATCTGTTCAATAAGCTATGCTTATTATGTCAGAAAAATGCAGTCACAGTTTAGAAAGCTTTGAGGGATTGTTCCCAAGGAGGCTGACACGGTAGTGACCACCAGTATTAGAGACCCTGGCCAGGGCATTGCTAAGTGGAAGACTCACTAAAGGCCATGCCAACAGCTGCCAGAGGCTCAGCATCTGGTATGGAGGCCTAACTACTTGTTGCTTAGTTCTTTCTGTTTCCTTTGAATTTCCTAATTTACATCTCAAGGGGAGAGCAAGAGGGGCCATGATACACTATTGATCTGGAGATATTGATTTCTTTGT